CATCTCATGGTAAAGTTATCAACTCCAATACCCATAAATGAAGAGCAGGACATCCAAAAAGAGCAGGCCAAGCAAGATAAAACATGAAAACCAGCCTCACGGTCCAAATTCGAAGTCAAAAAGGGTTGAAAAAGGCTACCAAAATGCAACTCAGAATAAAACATGAAGAAATCAAACAACTAAACAGTAAAATGAACCAATAAAAACGGAGCAGCATAAATAATAGAGAAATATAAAATCCCTCTATCTTCTGATATAAGGCACAGTAAGTAAATCCTCATTTAAAAGTATTTGAAGTTGAGGAGGGGGCACCACACCCACAATAATTTGTTGGAGACCTTGTTTGGCCAACCAATCAGCAGCAGTGTTACATTCCCTATAGATAAAATTAAATTGAAAAACCAAATTATGCCTTTTAATGAACCCCTGAATCATGTTAAATAGACAAATGACATTTCAGGTAGGGAAGGTGCTCTTATTTAGGATATTAAACATAGCCATAGAATCAATCTCGATAATTAAAGCATGGCGATGTAAGGTCACAACAATGTGTAAAGCATTCCAAAGCATTCCAAACTCAGCCTCTAAAGGTGTTGAGGCACAAACCGGTGAGGCAAAGTAACAGCACAAACCTGAGGCAAAGTAACAAAGGCATCTCCCCGAAGAATTACGAAAAATTCCACCCGTCCCAACAACAGATAAAGTCCAGCTCCCATCTACATTAAGTTTAATCCAACCAACAGAGGGGGGTTGCTACCGTATCAGAAGGGCCTTCCTACCCCTCTGAGGCAAATTAGAGCTTAATGCAATGAGGCGAGAAGCTTTAAGAAAATAAGAAATTATATGTGAAGTGGTAAGAGCAGCTGTAGAAGGGAGAGTCTCGTACTTATGAGCGTTCCTAGTAGACCAAAGGAACCAAAGAATAACAAAAGGACAAGGTTCCAAAGTTTCTCTGTAAAAAGGTGCAGCCTTCCAAACTTTGATATAATTCCTCCATTCACGATTATCATAAGAATTCGAAGTCCAATTGATACCAAAATACAACCCAACCGAGCGCCAAACTTCCCGAGCAAATTGGCAATCATAGAAAAGATGAGCGGCAGTCTCCTCATCTCATTTACAAAGATAGCATCTCGAAGGCATACACAAACCTTTTAACTTAAGTATATAAGAACATATTTTGAAGTAGAATCATTTTTGGGTTCATTCACTATTACAATAAAACATCGTTATAAAATTACAATTTTAATAGCCATTTTAGACACACAACTACAAAAGATGAATAAGAGATTTAAAGAACATATTGTAAAGTTATTTATCCTTCATTTTGCCTTGGATCTTTGAGATTGATATCAATCATTTAAAATTGATGATATTTATTGACCAAAGGAAATATGTTGAGATTTTCATACCTATTTTATATTATTTTTGATGATATTGGACTTTAAAGAAATGTATTTTTGATGTTTTGTTGCAGAAATGATGAATTAGGGTCATTAGGGCAAAAAGATGTAAAAAGAAGCAAATTTGGAGCAAAATGGACCAAAATGTGAAGATTTGAACTAGGGCGTCGACGGTGAGCCCAACGGCGCCGACGACGGACTTTTCCCGAGACTCAAGAATTAATTCACTTCGAAGGCCCGCTGACGGCGCCCTCGAGGCCGTCGTCGGTGAGCTCGGCGGTTATGTCCAAATATGCATTGGATGAGGACGAATTTTAGAGGGGTACTTAGGCAACTCTTGAGAAAACTCATCCACATCTTTAAAGAGAAGACTTTGGCCGAAAGTAGAGGAAAGGAGACTCAAAATTGAAGTGTGAAAAAGTGTAGAGAGTCTAAATTGTGAGGAATTCTTCGAGAAATTGTAAGAGTGGAGGGAAGTGAGAGATTTCTTCCTCCTTGCCGGTTCAAAGAGGAATTCCGTGTGCTGTAAAGAAAGGAAGAGATTCAGAGGAACTTCGAGGAGTTTGCTTGGGGAGAAATTAGAGATAAGTTTATTTATCGTTGTAGTTTGTATGACTTTGATTTTATATATGAATTCCGAGTTTTGTTGTGTTTTC